CTTCACTAGTAAGACGCGTTTTGGTGGGTGTGTATTGAAGCCCAGCCAAGAACAAAGCCGTGCGGGTGGCGGAAGTAGCCCAAAGTGGACAATATCTTACTAGGGTCTGCATCATGTTTTAACCTCATTTTTTCTTAATGTTCATAATAAAATTGTTTGAAATATCGATTTTCGCAAATCAAAGCATACTAGTATTAATACCTATGTACAACATGAGTGTTGAGTTAATGAATATATGTGCATAGTTATTTATCTCTAATATCAAACCTAACTTCATAGCAAAAATAATATAAAAACAACATCACGAAGCATAGATTTTCGCAATGTCAACATCCGAAGCGTGAGAATCTGCCACCTCAGCTCAACACGTTTTGAATTAATATATAGGGAGTGATTATTTTGATTATTTCATAAAGCTAGAACTTTGAAACCACAATATTTTTTTGTTGTGTCTTTTTATGAACAAAGTCAAAAGGTTAAATCTAAATTGAATTACAAACTTAGCTTATGTTATAGTTTAATTTGCGATTTAGTGTCTATATTTAATAACAAAAACATAATGGTTTCTTCTCGGCGGGCAAAAAAACTTAGAACGAGACCAATGACTTTTCAATTGCTCTACTTTGTCTGACACGTAATACAAATAATCTTATGTGACATGAAAAATATCTACAAGTTTGAAATAACTATTATTTATTATATTATTTATTCAATTTTATCTTTCTTTTCCAACAAATTACAATTTTACACACGACAAACGATACCACATTTAATATTAGCCATTGGAGAAGCAAGTTTTAAAATTTTGTTTTTGAATGTCATACAACACAAAATGAACAACGTTTTTTTACACTCGAAAATTTCAAAACAAACGAGTGACGGTGATAAACATATCCACATCAGACATACATTTCTAAAACTACATATTGCTAAGTTTCGAATTTCGACACCTTTACACAAACACTAAATAAATAACTAGAAATAGAAAAACAACCCATCCCCTCTCCCAGTTACTCTCAGTTTGGCCTGTGCTTAATTTACTTGAAACTAAACAATCAAGAGCAAAAATGTAAATTGGGTTAATGACAAAATACAATGGCAGCTCAAAATCCTTCGATTCATATTTTCTCATATAATGATAATAGTTAGATACAGCGACTATATTCGACTCCAGCGCATACCCGACAAACCTGTCCGTGAATCCTTCTCTCCAAAACATTAAAACAATCAATTTCCGTTATTCTCTATCCAGCTCTTGCCCGCGCAAAAAACGACCACCCTCATCTGTCAGCAAATACGCTAAAACATTAGTTCTTGTACGAAACATGAAAAAATCGAAATTCAGAGCAGAGCTAAATGAAAAAATCGAAATTCAGAGCAGAGCTAAATTAGTCGTTCAGTCTCAAAACTTAACCCATGCTCTAGATTCAGAACACAACAAAAGGTTTTCCATCATCAGCAAAAGAATTGACAATATTTCACCCTTTTTTTTAAGAAAAAAAAAATTGATTAAAAATAAATAACGATAATGATAAATGACAGATAAGAAGATGATTGAAGGTAAATGCAAAAACGTACCACTTTCACCATCAGATAAATCTTCAAGCCTTGCAATGGCTTCACTGAGTGCTAATTCCTGCTCCTGTTAACGAAAATGAAAAGATAAAGGATAATTAGCTTGGCCACAGAAAAATCCAGTTATTATGTTTCAGAAATACAAACACACCCCTGATACTTGTTTCTTTTACAAATTATACCCTCTTCATATCAAGAACGTGTCGTGTACTTAAAAAAAAAAGGACTTTTGTGAGAATAATAAGATATCAAGCAGTATACAATACCTTAACTACTTCTTTTGCTCTCTCTATCTCCACTGGGTCCGGATGACTAGCGCTAAAAACCCTCTCCACCTATATACAAAAAGATTAACATCTCAATCGAACAACTCTTTACAGAGGTTTAAAATATAGACTACAATTGTGTATACCTCCTTAATTAAAGTATCGGTATGAAGCAAACGGATATCATCAAGTCCCTTCTTTCCTATGCCATTTTGAGATTGAGGAAAATCTTTCCTCGGTTGAACTTTGGTCAAACCCCTCCCTCTACCTGGACCTGGCCCATTCTTATCTCTAGGCCGGCCCATCCCATGCCCCGGCCCACCAAAACCTCCATGACGGGAAACCCCGGGGTCTTCACCTTCCCATTTTATATCATCTGGAGAAATCTGTGAAGAAAATATGATGAGATAATCTGCAAAGATTATTTTTTTCACCAATTTTTCTGGTCAGAAAAGGTATTTTCCCTTTTGCCTGTTATACACGTTAATTAAATAAAATCTCGAAGTAGAGTGCATGATCTTTCTAACCCCGCAAGGGCCAAAACTAAGTTATGCTAGGTAGTAGAATGCAATATTCACATTATATTTCTAAGATTACTCACATAATAAATAAACCACGCCGAAAAAAAAAGAGTAATGTGGGGTGTTTAAAGGAGCATTCGCTATGATTTGAAAATTAGTAAGCTGCAATTCAGTACACACTCGTGATGAATTGAGAGGCAGGATTTTATCATGTAACATCAATATGGAAGTATATACATCATCTTCGTGGTTACTTGTTATGAACATTAAATAGGATATTGAACATACAAAAATGGATCCATCATTAACATAAAATTAGACACAAGCACTAGTATGTTCTACCAAATATTCATAATGATGAATTCACCAAATAGTTATCAAAACCGAAAATAAAAAAAATAAAATAAAAATTCGAAGGACTTGTCAAGGATAGCAAAGAAGCATGTATACCTCAGATAGATTGACCCATTCCCATGTCTCGTTCGGAGTACCTAAGTCATAAACAAGAGCATGCAGGCCCTGAGAGAAAAAAAAAAGGCCCACAAAAAGCAACTGAATAACTAGATGAGCTAAAAGAGAGTCCACGAATAAAAGGAACTGCAAAAAATTACCTCCACATGATTATAATCAGTAATCAGAGCTTCATAAAAGTTATTATCGTCCGGCCATCTGGTCCGTACTTTCCTTCCAATCAACGGATCAAACGGAGCTCCTTCTGCTGGCTCATTCATGGGGCCACCAGAAGACATTCGGTTACCAAATTGACCTCTTCCTGCGGGACCCGGGGGATACTGCATTTTCATCTGGGATGATCCTGCCGGCAGCTGAGCATCAGCATAAAAAAAATTAAGATATGTCAGCAATAATTTGAATAAGAGAAATATAAAATAACTCATGAAGGTGCTGAGGTTTGAACTAATTTTAATGAAGTTATTAAAAAGCCCACTAGTATTACAAATTCACCCATACCCCTTGAAATCTGACATTATACCCCTATTAAGTTTGAGTGGTGCAGTGTACAAAACAGAAACAAATATCAAGCGGGTATAATTAAAGATATTCGGGAGAGTTTCAGTGATCATGTAAAAACTCGAGTATTCTTTGAAAATAACCCACAAAATTACTAAAGAATCTTTCAAACTCACATTATTAAGTTGGTAATGAAAACTCACAAATTTTGACTTTTTGCTCTTCACGCCCATCGTGGGCCCACGCTTTGCGGCTAAGGACAAAGGCTGGTTTGTTGGAGCCATCGACTGTGGGTGGAAAGGAGATGGCCCACCATAGGATTGAGAAGGCAATGATGGTAACTTTTGCTTTTTACGAGAAGCTGAGACTGAAGGACTCGGTGCCGGTTCATGAACAGCTGCTCCTTGACTAGATCGATGACTGCCTGTTTGACGCTCAACCGATTTTCTCCACTCCCTAGTAAAAAAAAAAAGAAAAGTGGTAAAACAGAAAGAGGATCATTTGCTAAATTCAGAGGTAGATATGAACTTCTCAAGATTGCATAAACAAATTAAAAGGACCTTATTCTCCTGATTGTCTCATCTGAATTAACCCTGCTTAGAATATCTCGGTGCTCCTCATTGGATAATCTCAACTCTTTTCGGAGCTCTGTTATTACACTTTCCTTTTCCTGAAAATAAATTCAAAACAGAAAGGGGCATTCATTTAGCAGACTTATAAACCTTGTTATAGCAAATATTAATATTACTATACATGGAAACATTACCCAGGTAATAGCATCTCCTTGAGCTTTGAAAGCTCTAAGAACAGAACAGTAAGCTTCTTGCTCGAGCTGGTGGATTTTTGCTTCCATGTCACTGTCATCATATGCATTCCTCGGAAAAGGGTGAGAAGCCAGGGTCACCAGCCTCCCATTCCCAGAAATCCGGCCAGCCCTCGGCATTCTATTTTGCTGGGGCGGGGTTACATCTACTTCCGTTTCTGCAATAATAATATAACTAAAATATATTAGAATCATGATTTTACATGCAATGCTTTAAAAATTCATAATAATTATAATACAATTGAACAATGTTTTTATTCACTAATTCACTGATGAGGGATCATTGGCTGAGAAAGGACAATGTTGCAGATCAATAATACACCTTTTTGGAAGGACAATCGTCAATGAAGTGTATCCTACTTATGCTCTCCATAAAGAAAACCCGTACTTCACAAACAAGCGGCACCCATTATTTTACCCGTAAGTACCTTAAAATGCTGAGAACCACCCTTATGTAAAACAAATAAAAGAAATTGCAACCATACTGACAGTGAAGGCTTCAAGAGAAGTACGTATTCTTCAAGCTTTCATGGTCAATAGCCAGCACAGTTAACACGAAACTGAATCATATAATACAGAATTTTGCACAGCATAACCAGCCTATCTCAAGCAACCAGAGCTCCAATTTGGACCCAGAGTCTACAATACACTTTTGAAAAACTAAAGAAATGTCTTTTCACTCCCTAGTTACATTTTTCTCCCGCAAAGCACAAGAAATCTTAATTAATAAAAGGAAGAGCAAGTTGACTCTTTGAGGAAAAATATTCAAAAATCAAACAAACCTATTATCTCGGTGAGATAATCCTAGTCATTACAATTTCGCTAGAACACACAATGCCTGTAATACTCAAGCCCTTGTCCAATTCCACTCGCAAACCCATAGCCCAAAAACTACACTAACCACTAAAAAGTAAAAACCTATATTGCTTAAGCCAAAATTTGAATCTTTTTAGGTTTCTACAAAACAATAACTCACCACTACTACTTTCGTACTGTCCGTACTGTTCGTGGCCCATCGCCAGCTTTTTCCAGAACAAAAGATTCAGAATTTATCGCAGCTCAAAACGAGGAAACCCTAAAATCTTCAAGAAATCGCACAATATGGTCCAGAAAATGCAGCAAGGATTCAACCTTTGGCGAGCAAACTAATGGTTTAAGCGAATCGATGTTTGTGAAATTGCTGGCCTTCTGAGTGTGTTCTGGTTTTGGGGCAGCGGACGTAAGGTGCCTTCTTCGAATCGGGTTAAGGGACAAGGTTGAGTTACGGCGCTGCTATTGGTGATTTTTTTTTTTTTTTTTTT